CTTCCTTGCGGGATTTCAGGCAAGATGACCATACCCTCGAAATCACTTCTATCTTTGCTTGCTAGTTGCTCGCTCTTTTGCTATGCCTATGCTGCGATACCTACCACTTGCTTATCATGCCTCCCATATTGTTAAGCCAAACCCCTAACCCACCTTGTCCTAGCAAACCATTGTTTGGCTAAGTTACCACTTTGCTCAGCCCCTCTTATAGCGTTGTTAGTTGTAGGTGAAGATTGAAGTTTGTTCCTTGTTGGAACATGGATATTTTGTTGGGATATCACAATATCTCTTATTTAATTAATGCATCTATATACTTGGTAAAGGGTGGAAGGCTCGGCCTTATGCCCGGTGTTTTGTTCCACTCTTGCCGCCCTAGTTTCCGTCATATCGGTGTTATGTTCCCGGATTTTGCGTTCCTTGCGCGGTTGGGTGATAATGGGAACCCCTTGATAGTTCTCCTTGATTAAAACTCCTCCAGCAATGCCCAACCTTGGTTTTACCATTTGCCACCTAGCCTCTTTTTCCCTTGGGTTTCCGGAGCCCAAGGGTCATCTTATTTAATCCCCCCCAGGCCAGTGCTCCTCTGAGTGTTGGTCCACCTCGTCAGCCGCCGGTGGCCACCAGGGGCAACTCTGGGCTGGCCTACCGGAAGTTTAGACAATCTTAGTGTGCCCTGAGAACGAGATATGTGCAGCTCCTATCGGGATTTGTCAACACATTCGGGCGGTGTTGCTGGATTTGTTTTAACTTGTCGAAGTTGTCTTGTAGAACCGGGATACCGAGTCTGATCGGAATATCTCGGGAGAAGGTATATCCTTCATTGACCGTGAGAGCTTGTCATGGGCTAAGTTGGGACTCCCCTGCAGGGACTTGAACTTTCGAAAGTCGTGCCTGCGGTTATGGGCAGATGGGAATTTGTTAATGTTCGGTTGTAGATAACTTGAACCTTAACTTAATTAAAATGAATCAACTGCGTGTGTAACCATGATGGTCTCTTCTTGGCAGAGTCCGGGAAGTGAACACGGTGTTGGAGTAATGTTTGCCGTAGGTTGTTTCTCTAGTTCTTCGTTCGTGCTTTGCCTTCTCTTCTCGCTCTCTTTTGCGAACAAGTTAGCCACCATATATGCTAGTCGCTTGCTGCAGCTCCACATATTACCCTGCCTTTCCCATAAGCTTAAATAGTCTTGATCGCGAGGGTGTAAGATTGCTGAGTCCCCGTGACTCACAGATTACTTCCAAACCAGATGCAGGGCCCGAAGATTCTGTTCCAAATGATGCGCTTGAGCTCAAGTGGGAGTTCGACGAAGACTCACGCCGTTACTATGTGTCTTTCCATGATGATCAGTAGTGGCGCCCAGTTGGGGCGATCGGGACCATGTCGCATGTTGGGGTTGATCTTTTATTTTGGTACCGTAGTCGGACCATGAGTGTATTGGATGATGTAATGCTTTATTCTTGTATTTATGTGAAGTGGCGATTGTAAGCCAACTATGTATCCTTTTCCCCTTATTGTATTACATGGGTTGTTGTGAAGATTACCTCACTTGCGACATAGCTTGCATTGCGGTTATGCCTCTAAGGCGTGCTTCGACACGTGGGAGATATAGCCGCATCGAGGGCGTTACAGAGGGGGCGCCTAGAACACACAACAACAATCGTTAGCCGTGTGTGGCGCCCCCCTCCACAGTTTACTCCCCCGGTCATAGTTTTGCAGTGCTTAGGCTAAGCCCTGCGAGAATCACTTCACCATCACCGTCACCACACCGGTGTGTTGATGGAACTCGTCTACTTCCTTGATACCTTGTTGGATCAATAAGGCGAGGGACGTCATCGTGCTGAACGTGTGCAGAACTCGGAGGTGTCGTACATTCGGTACTTGATCGGTCGAAGCTAGAAGAAGTTCGACTACATCAAATGTGTTGTCAAACGCTTCCGCTTTCGGTCTACGAGGGTACATGGACACACTCTCCCCCTGTCGTTGCTATGCATCTCCTAGATAGATCTTGCGTGAGCATAGGAATTTTTTTAAAATTGCATGCTATGTTTCCCAACAGTTTTATTATGACACGCACCATCATTGTCATATTGCTTTGCATGATCATGTAGTCGGCATAATATTTGTGGAAAGGTCACCATTCATATTTTTTTATACATGTCACTCTTGATCATTGCACATCCCGGTACACCACCGGAGGCATTCATATAGAGTCATATTTTGTTCTAATATCGATTTGTAATTCTTGAGTTGTAAGTAAATAAAAGTGTGATGATCATCATTATTACAGCATTGTCGAGGAACGGATGATGGAAGTTATGATTCCCTCACAAGTTGGGATGAGTCTCCGGACTTTATAAAAATAAGAGGCCAAAGAAGCCAAAAAAATAAAAGAGGCCAAAGAAGCCCACCAAAAAATGAGAGAAAAGAGAGAAGGGACAATGTTATTATCCTTTTTCCACACTTGTGCTTCAAAGTAGCACCATATTCTTATTTTGTCACTTTCATATACTAGTGGTAATTTTACATTATAGAATTTGGCTTGTATATTCTAATGATGGGCTTCCTCAAATTGCCCTAGGTCTTTGTGAGCAAGCAAGTTGGATGCATACCCACTTAGTTTCTTTTTGAGCTTTCATACACTTATGTCTCTAGTGCATCCGTTGCATGGTAATCCCTACTCACTCACATCGATATCTATTGATGGGCATCTCCATAGCCCATTAATACGCCTAGTTGATGTGAGACTTTCTCCTTCTTTTTTGTCTTAACCACAACCACCATATTCTATTCCACCTATACTGTTATATCCATGGCTCACGCTCATGTATTGCGTGAAAGTTGAAAAGGTTTGAGAACGTAAAAAGTATGAAACAATTGCTTGGCTTGTCATCGGGGTTGTGCATGATAAAATACTTTGTGTGATGAAGATGAAGCATAGCCAGACTATATGATTTTGTAGGGGTAACTTTCTTTGGCCATGTTATTTTGAGAAGACATGATTGCTTTATTAGTATGCTTGAAGTATTATTGTTTTTATGTCAATATTAAACTTTTATTCTGAATCTTATGGATCTGAATATTCATGCCACAATAAAGAAAATTACATGGATAAATATGTTAGGTAGCATTCCACATCAAAAATTCTGTTTTTATCATTTACCTACACGAGGACGAGTAGGGATTAAGCTTGGGGATGCTTGACACGTCTCCAACGTATCTATAATTTTTTATTGTTTCATGATATTATATTATCTGTTTTAGATGTTTAATATGCATTAATATGCTATTTAATATTATTTTTGGACTAACCTATTAACCTAGAGCCCAGTGCCAGTTTCTGTTTTTTCATTGTTTCTGAGTTTTACAGAAATGGAATATCAAACGGAGTCCAAACGCAATAAAACTTTCGGATGATTTTTCTTGGACCAGAAGACATCCACAAAGCTTGGAGAGGGGGCCAGAAGAGTCCAGAGGGACCCACAAGCTCTCAGGCCGCGCCCTAGGGGGGCCGCCTGATCCCTACCTTGTGGGCCCTTCGGGAGTCACCCAACCCTAATTCTTGCGCTATAAATTCTCAAATATTCCCAAACCAATAGAAGGGTCCACCAAAATACTTTTAGTTGCCGCAAGCCTCTATTCCCGTGAGATCCCATCTTGGGGCCTTTTTTGGCACCCTGCCGAAGGGGGATTCGATCATGGAGGGCATCTACATCAACTCTGTCGCCCTTCCGTTGAAGCGTGAGTAGTTTACCACAGACCTACGGGTCCATAGCTAGTAGTTAGATGGCTTCTTCTCTCTCTCTATGATCTTCAATACCATGTTCTCCTCGATGTTCTTGGAGTTCTATCCGATGTAATATTTTTTTGCGGTGTGTTTATCAAGATCCGATGAATTGTGGATTTATGATCAGATTACCTATGAATATTATTTGAGTCTTTTCTGAACTCTTTTATGCATGATTAAATATCTTTGTATTTCTCTTCGAATTGTCGGTTTGGTTTGGCCAACTAGATTGGTTCTTCTTGCAATGGGAGAGGTGCCTAGTTTTGGGTTCAACCTTGCGGTGTCCTCACCCAGTGACAAAGTCAGGGGTAGCGAGGCACGTATTGTATTGTTGCCATCAAGGGTAAAAAAAATTGGGTTTTCATCATACTGCTTGAGTTTATCCCTCTACATCATGTCATCTTACTTAAGGCGTTACTCCGTTCTTATAAACTTAATACTCTATATGCATGCTGGATAGCGGTCGATGTGTGAAATAATAGTAGTAGATGCAGGCAGGAGTCGGTCTACTTGACACGGACATGATGCCTATATTCATAATCATTGCCTTGGATATCGTCATAACTTTGCGCTTTTCAATCAATTGCTCGACAGTAATTTGTTTACCCATCGTATGTTTTTTTTGAAGAGAGAAGCCTCTAGTGAAACATATGCCCCCCGGGTCTATTTTCCATCATATATTTTCAGATCTATAAACCAAGAAACCCAAAAATATCTTGCTGCAATTTATTTAGATTTATTTTAGTTTGCCTTTTTTATTTATCTTTTATACCTATCTCTATTAGATCTCACTCTTGGTCGAGACAGTGAAGGGATTGACAACCCCTTTTTCGCGTTGAGTGCAAGTGTTTGTTAGTTTGTGCAGGTGCATAGATTGAAGACTTGCTTGTGCCTCTTACTCGATTGATACCTTACTTCTTAACTGAAGGAAATACTTATCTCTATTTTGATGCATCACTCTTTCCACTTCAAAGAAAAATCAACGCAAGTTTAAGAAGTAGCAAACACCCAGGTGATATACATCCTGTCCAATTATACAAAGACATTTTTTAGTACCGTGAACGTAATCATGGGGAGGAATTGCACTACATTAGCAAACAATTGGTAGTTCCATGATTTCATCCATGCACGGAGTGCTCATGGAATTATTTGATTTGCAACTATTTCAAACTAGTGATACAAAGCATCAACATAGTGATTGATTTCGATGATACCCAATTAAGTGGCTTTCCAGGATGACAGGGGAGGAGTCCCGGAGTCCTTCCAGGTGTTGAGGAACGTGATGTGGTAGCGATCACCTTGGACCGCATCCATGGCGGCATAGGACTCGAGCTCAACCATCTCCTCAGCCATGAGCTCCACAGAAAGCGCTCTCACGTTCTGCTTGAGATTCTCAACTTTCGTTGTGCCAGGTATAGGACACACATCGCTTCCCTGATGGTGAACCCAAGCCAACGCGAGCTGGGACGACGTGCAACCCTTCCTCGCAGCCATCTTGCTCACGCGCTCGAATATCGCCGCGTTCTTCTCCATGTTCTCGGGTTGAAATCTTGGGAGATTCTTAAAACACAATGGGATGCATTTGTTAGAAAAAGGAGAAAAGAGAAAGAAAAAAAGCCAGCTAACCGTATGAAGAAGGAAGTGTCATGGGTGGTTCATTTACCTTGCGGAAATCGTTCTCTGGTAATGTGTCCAACAGTTTTGGTCCAGTGGATAGAAAACCTCTGCCTAGTGGACTGTACGCAACAATTCCAATGCCAACTTCTCTGAAACAGTAAATAATTTGTAAGTTCTTTTTGAGGACGTTTCATAAAGTACTATGAAGCTGATTTTGAAAAGAAAAGGTAGGTTTATGGTCGTTGCAAAAACCTGCAAGTTGGTATTATATCTTCTTCAACATCTCTTGACCACAAAGACCACTCCAGCTGAACGGCAGTGATCGGATGAACTGCATGTGCCCTTCTGATTGTCGACGCCGAGGCTTCCGACAACCCGACGTATTTCACCTTTCCTTCTTGGACTAGTTTCTTGATCTCACCCATCTACATGCATACGGAAGTCAAGAAGGTAGACTGGTCGATACCTGCAAGCCCTCAATCTGTCTAAATGAAACGAACCTGAACAAGTGCTACTACGTAGTAGGGACTGACCGTGATCTCGACGGGAACATTCTTGTCAATGCGGTGCTGGTAGTAGAGGTCGATGCATTCGAAGCCGAGCCGAGCGAGGCTGCCCTCGCACGCCGCCCGCACGTACGCCGGGTCGCCGCGGACCTCCCGGGCCGGCGTGATGCCGAATTTCATGGCCAACTGGACCTTCTCCCTCGCCCCTCCCTGCAGCGCCTGCTTTATCACACGGAGAACCCTTGCCGGTCAGACATCCGCGTGCGAATGATATGGCAACTACTAGAAGGGAGCCAAGGAACACGTCGGGTGGCTGTAGTATGGTAACCTACCTTCCCGAGCAAGAGCTCGTTGGTGTGGGGGCCGTAGATGTCGGAGGTGTCCAGGAAGGTGACGCCGGCGGCGACGGCGTTGCGGAGGAGCGCGATCATGTCCTGGTCGGGCTTGCGCTCGCCGTAGGCCGCGGACATGCCCATGCAGCCGAGGCCCTGCGCCGAGACCTCCAGCCCCTGCGAGCCCAGCTTCATGCGCGGCACAACCACCGGAGCAGCAGCCATGTCGTTCGTGCTGTGATGAACTGATGATTGGTGGATGAGTAAGTAGGTCTGGAACTTGCAGTGCAATGCTGCGGTGCAATTTATAGTGCGGTGGAGGGCGTCATGGAGTAGGTCACCAGGCTGCTGGTTTGAATGAGCTGCCGAATTAGCGCAGAGCGTCACCCCGTACGTTAAATTGAAATGGACATTGATCTTTTTCACTCTTCTAAGGTCCTCTTCTAGATTCCTCGTACTACATGACAGTGAGTGAGTGGCGGGGCGGTTCGAGTGGGACGCCACGGTGGCTGACTGGCTGGTCCAACGGATGGGCACGCCACGGGGGAAAGGAACGTGTGGGTCCAGGAGGCAGATGCCACGGCGATGGGCGACGGGTCACCGCCCGTCTCCGCCACATGAAAAATTCGATGATGGACACCGAAGTGCGAAGTGACTGCCCACGCCCCGTCGGTCGATTTCAGCGTCGCCGTTGGCCGGGGGTTCGTGAGCTCACGCACGCAACTCATCGGAGAATCGGACGGGCCTGGCATCCGAATCGTGTGTGTCACAGCCATGCATGTGTCCTGTCTACGATTCCTGGCTTGGCTGGCTGGCTGGCTTGTGGATAGGTTTGTCTCGGACACACGATACGACGGCGACGCCTGCCTGCTATCCGCTCCGGCGTGTCGAGTGAGTGACGAGGCGATCCAAGGAGATTGTCCATACACTGAGTCATTCGTGTGTGGCACATTCTCAGAAAAGCCTCCCTCCATCCCATAATATAAGAGCGTTCAAGCGAGTAATTATTAGGGCGTGTGAGGCAAGCTATGTCATTTAGGATATTGTTGTTGCCTCTTCTGATAGGAAATCATAATAGTTTGTTAGAAATAGTTAGCATCATTGTTAGGCTAAATAGGCGGTTAATATTATCTTTAACATAACTGTCTACCGGCAGTTGCTTTGTGAAGCCTTGTCCATATGATATATACGTCTGTTAGAACAAACGCCTCCTTATAAACCGACTTTGTAAGCGCCTTTCTGGCCAAACGCCATATACCCAACCACAACGTACGTCAAATTTTGAACTAGAGCATAGCATCACTGTGTATATTTTGGGGCATACCCATTATTTTATCAGTTTGGATTATAGCTATTACGAGCAATGAAATTAACATCATTGACTTCTACATCGGTGATATGGCATTTACGCTACCTCTTCTTTACCTTTCATGACGGAGATGAGTTCATCAAGCTTAGCTGTCAACTCCGTGTTGTTTTCTTCAACTGTATTGACTTTTTTGGTGGTAGTTCTTTCAACATGTCATTGGGCATGGTTCCCTTGCATATCATCAAGTAGCTTCTTGACATCATCTATGGGCTTACCCATGATAGTTCATTGGTGCAGCGATTAGCAAAGTCACACAATATGAAAGTCATGTCTAAGCCAGAAAGAAAACCAAAACCCCGAAGTGATCAAATCCAAAATAAAAAAACTACAATAATAATCATCTCTGCACTAACCATCTCATGACACCACAAGAACAATGAGGTTATTCAACATCACCTCGGTCACCTATTCCGACCACCAAAGACTAGAGTCTAGATTTCTACTCGGAAGAACCAGACTGGGCATATCCAAGCAATGCCTTTAATAAAATAATGACACAAAAACATCACCATTGTCATGTACAACCAACTCGGATCATACCTACGTTTTTCACCCCGAAGCTCAAAACTGGGTACTCGAGAAATACCACCATCAAAGCCAATCATGGGTTGTCGCCATCACTTTTCCACAATCCTAGAAGCTGGGCTGGAAAATCAATCGGCGCCACTGCATAACCATACCTTGTGCATCAAGTCGTCATCCATAAATTGCATTTCACAGCCGAAGGCAAGCACCGGATCTTGAGAGATTAACCTCGCGAAGACCTTTTGGCAGTCATCACAATCCACAGTGAGGTCGCCGCCGTAGGCCGAAGTATCCAAAGGACTCTAGAGGCTTCCAGAAGACTTGCATCAGGGTGCACGAAGCATGTGTTTGTTAGGCAGATAGATTTACTATGTTGTAATCTTCTGTTTATTTCTATTCCTTGCGTGTGTAACAATTGAAGTAACAACCAGTGTATGTAGAAGGTGCAACAATTGATGTAATTCGGCCCCTGTAAGGAGGTGCGACGCGTACCGCAATCTTCACATGAGGTTGGGAATTCTAAATGGTTTTCCGGACGAAAATGTGTTACAAAAGGGCCTTTGTAGCCCTGCCAAAAAGTTCAACACTTGGGGGATACTTCCTTGCAGGCATAATAAAAAGTTCAACACTCATGGGCAGGAATTGTGCTACATTAGTAAACAATTGGTGGTTCCATGATTCCATCCATGCACGGAGTGCTCGTGAAATTATTTGATTTGCAACTATTTCAAACCAGTGATACGAAGCATCAGCATAGTGATTGATTCCCATGATACCCAACTAAGTGGCTTTCCAGGATGACAGGGAAGGGGTCTCGGAGTCCTTCCAGGTGTTGAGGAACGTGTTGTGGTACCGATCACCTTGGACCGCATCCATGGCAGCGTAGGACTCGAGCTCAGCCATCTCCTCAGCCGTGAGCTCAACAGACAATGCTCTCAGGTTCTGGTTGAAATTCTCAACTTTCGTCGTGCCGGGTATGGGGCACACATCGCTTCCCTGGTGGTGAACCCAAGCCAGCGCGAGCTGAGACGACGTGCAACCCTTCCTCGCAGCCATCTCGCTCACGCGCTCGAATATCTCTGCATTCTTCTTCATGTTCTCGGGTTGAAATCTTGGGAGATTCTAAAAACGCAATGAGATGCATTTGTTAGAAAAAGGAGAAAGGAGAAAAGTAAGATAGCTAACCGCATGAAGAAGGAAGTGTCATGAGTGGTTCATTTACCTTGCGGAAATCGTCTTCTGGTAATGTGTCCACTAGTTTAGGTCCACTGGATAGAAAACCTCTGCCTAGTGGACTGTAAGCTACAATTCCAATGCCAAGTTCTCTAAAACAGAAAACATTTTGTAAATTCTTTCTGGGACTACATAAGGAGGACGTTGCATGGTATGACAAAGTTGTACTAAGGCTACGGCAATTAATTTGGATCGGAGGGATATTACATATGAAGCTGATTTTGAAAAGAAATTGCGAAAAAAATAGGTTTGTAGTCATTGCAAATACCTGCAAGTTGGGATTATATCTTCTTCGACATCTCTTGACCACAAAGACCACTCCAGCTGAACGGCGGTGATGGGATGAACTGCGTGTGCCCTTCTTATTGTCGACGCCGAGGCCTCCGACAACCCGACGTATTTCACTTTTCCTTCTTGGACTAACTTCTTGATCTCACCCATCTACATGCATACGGAAGTCAAGAAGGTAGACCAGTCAATACCTACAAGCCCTCAATCTGTATAAAATGAAACGAAGTTAAACAAGTAGTGCTACGTAGTACTTCCTTCGTCTGAAAAAACTTACTCCAAGTTTGTTTTTCAAATTGATGTATGTAGCACTAACTTGATGTTAGATATATTCATTTGAGGGATAAATTTTTTTGGACAGACTGAGTACGTAGTACTGACCGTGATCTCCACGGGGACATTCTTGTCGATGCGGTGCTGGTAGTAGAGGTCGATGCAGTCGACGCCGAGCCGGGCGAGGCTGCCCTCGCACGCCGCCCGCACGTAGGCCGGGTCGCCGTGGACCTCCCAGGTGGCCGTGATGCCAAATTTCGTGGCCAATTGGACCTGCTCCCTCACCCCTCCCTGCAGCGCCTGCTTTATTGCACGGAGAACTCTGGCCGGTCAGACATCCGCGTGCGAATGGCAACTAGCGAGGAGCCAAGGAACACGTCGGGTGGCTGTAGTAAGGAGGTAGCCTACCTTGCCGAGTAAGAGCTCGTTGGTGTGGGGGCCGTAGATGTCGGAGGTGTCGAGGAAGGTGACGCCGGCGGCGACGGCGTGGCGGAGGAGCGCGATCATGTCCTGGTCGGGCTTGCGCTCGCCGTAGGCCGCGGACATGCCCATGCAGCCGAGGCCCTGCGCCGAGACCTCCAGCCCCTGCGAGCCCAGCTTCATGCGCGGCACAACCACCGGAGCAGCAGCCATGTCGTTCGTGCTGTGATGAACTGATGATTGGTGGATGAGTAAGTAGGTCTGGAGCTTGCAGTGCAATGCTGGGGTGCAATTTATAGTGCGGTGGAGGGCGTCATGGAGTAGGTCACCAGGCTGTGGGTTTGAATGAGCTGTCAAACCAGAGCAGAGCGTCACCGCGTACGTAATGTGCCCAAAATTAGTTTACCCAGTGATGCGTGACCATTTTTTTGTCAAACAATTCAGTCCAGACAAATATTTTTAGGTAAAGTAGTCCAAAGGCTGCGGCATCTTGTGATAGCACTCATTCGGATAACATCCGGTCAAAGTCAAGATACCACCTATTATTAAATTTTTTACGACCTAAAAATAGTTTTATTCCATTATAATAGGGGTTCCAGTCGATAGGCCCGAGCCGTTGGATTGTTCTACTTCAATCCAACGGTTGGCTCATCTTGTTTCTTCTCCGGTTGTTTCTCTCCTCACACACAAAAAAAAACAGACATATCGTGTCACATGAGGCCCCAGTGAGCCCTCGCAGGGGGCACCATAGTCAACCGTGGTGTCCCTATCTCGAACTTGGTTGCCATCAATCCTAGCGGCAGTCAAAATAAAAAGTTCTCCCACCCAAACTAGTGAACCCTCATCATCGCCTGCACAAGCGACACTGTCCTGGATTGGCCTTGCCACAGATGTCGCCGCATGACGCCTCACCCCCATCTCGACCTCGGAGCTGTGCGGTGTATGTCTCTAGAAATTGAATGAGGAATAGCAAATCCAGGAAAAAAATTAAGCCACGATCAGGGGTGGAGCTGGAGCTCATGCTACCCCAATGCACCACTTAACTATGGCATAATATTATCAAATAAAAATACATTAAATAAAGGTGTGTTTCACAAATTGTAACATGGATTACCTA